TAGAAGTCTGGTTAGGAGGGAAGCTCTCTCATATCTTATCCATAGGCTAGTCTAACCTTTACAACCATACCTAGAGGTCTGATCCTAACCACCTAGACCAACAAGTGCGCGTTGCAGTACGGGATGTGCACAAAAGCATTGCACACGGAATCAGTATTGCACACGAAAAAAGCAGCGTGCATATCTATCGCATGGAGAAAGGACAAGCCCACAGGCTCTTGCACGGATAGCACATGCTAGACATCGGGCTCCGTAACTATCACTAAATTTAACAATTTGACTCTTTTCGAAAACTAATTTCGCAAATAAACTGTGGACAACACTTATTTTAAAAATGATCCTTTTGTTCAACGCCAAATCGTATGGCGCTAAACTTACACATGTCAGCGCCAAATAGCACGACGCTGAATGCACGTTGGCACGCCGACTCAACCTCCCATCCACGGTGGCACAACATTCAGTGCTAGTTGACGTGGCGCTGAGGTGTCTAAGTTCAACGCCATACGATTTGGCACTGAACAAAAGGATTATTTTTTAAATAAGTTTTGGCCACGGTTCATTTCCGAAATTAGTTTTCAGAAAGAGTCAAATTGTCAAAATTTGTGACGTAACTATTCGCTTTGCTTTAAATCATGACTTTCCCATTTATATATGTATCCTTCTCTTGGTTTATAATTTTGATTGTAAACTTACAAGGTCTCACTGCAGCACACGGGGTGTCATCTAACAAAACCAAAACCTTGAGTCAATGATAGTGATATGATTTTGTGGAGTGAGAGAAGATGCACAAAAACTGCACAAAAACTATTTTGTGGAGAAGATATTACTGGCGGCATCATTGACAACAAATTCTAATGGTAGTTTCTTGTCGACATATTTTCATGGATAATCTAAAATTAAAACCGAAACATAAAACTAAAACCAATTGAAACATGGATGACGTCAAAATTATAGCGGAAACATCTTCAATATTTTTATAGTAGTAGAGATAAGCTCATTACTACATCGATTCCCTAATAGCTACTATTGTTGTCTATAGACATTTCACTTATATTATAACATAACGTAAAAAGACAAACAGTTATAACATATTTTTAAGAATTTATATATACTTCTCTGAGAAAACGCACAAGCGGTTAAAAATTAACCTTAATAAAACTAGTGTCAATTAATCAAGTTAACCCTTAATTACATTTTCTTTCTTGTTCCTCCTATAAATATATTTTTAAATAATGAAAGCTTTTATTGAACTCAGCCAATACACCAGGATAATACAAAAGCACTAAGCACACTTTTGGATGTTGCATAACTAGGACACACACCATTTATAAGAAAATAAATTACAGGAAGTATTATGGCCATCAATCTTAAAACTAGATCGCTACCCATCCCCTTGGGTAAAAAATTCCGTAACTGCCTGCTCTAAGAATAGACACACCGTAGTAACCAAATCTTGCGAACCCGGTTTTTGTAGTATAACCCAAGTGCGCAGCCAATAGATAATTAAATAGACTACCCGCACAGGAGAAGAAATAATTTTTTTTGTCAAAAACCATATCATTTATGCATAACCAGTGCGACCAACAAATAGCAGCCGCCCCTAACAGAGAAACATACGGCTGTAAATATTTTTGAACACCTGAAAGCCATTTAGTAAACCTGTGTGAAATATTATGTGGTGCAGTAATTCTTGACGCAACATAAGTGATCGACCAAACTAAGTTAGCAAAATGACATTCAAAGCATGTGTGTTTAATTGTCTCCATGTTATGACAAAATAACATTTTTGATTGCTTTGCCAGTTACGTTTAGGTAGATTGTCCTTGGTTAGCATAACTCCACGATGAAGGTACCAAACAAAAATCTTGACTTTGAGTGGCACCTTCAATTTCTAGAGGTGTCAATTTATATTCTGGACATCACTATGGACCACTGCCAAGTAGTGAGTTTTTACTGTAAACTTCCCACTATGGGTTAAATTCCATAGGAACTCATGCCAAGTAGTGAGTTTTTACTGTAAACTTCCCACTATGGGTTAAATTCCATAGGAACTTATGCCAAGTAGTGAGTTTTTACTGTAAACTTCCCACTATGGGTTAAATTCCATAGGAACTCATGTTGCGCCTGGCTTAGTTCAAAATTAGCAATCCGAGGTAATAAGTTATTCCAAGCTACTAATTCTGAACCAATTGAATCCCTTCACCATAAAAAGATTCGAGCGCCAGATTGAAAGACCTCTAGAATAGTACTTTATTTATGTCTAAAAATATTGTAAGGCTCGGGTACTGTTCTTGAAGAGTTGCATCTCCAAACCATTTGTCTTTCCAGAATCTAATTTGAGAGCCATCTTTAATTGTAAAGGATTCGAAACGGAAAAAAAAAGTCTTTTTTCACCTTTATTAGGCTAGCAAAAAACATAAGTTCCTAGTTTTCCACTGAACTTGAGAAAGAGGTTGTGAACCCAAATACTTATTATGTATTAGCTGTTGCCAAACTCCATCCATAGTAAGCAACCTATATAGCCACTTACTAAACAAAGCTATATTTTTAAGTTCCAGATCATGAATTCCTAAACCCCATGGTCTTTTGAGCGGCAAAGAATGTCCCATCTGGCGAGGCAATACTTTTGTTTTTGACCATTACTCAGCCAATAGAACCTAGAGCGATAATAGTTAAGCTTTTTCGTACCCCTTAGCTATTGGAAAGAAAGACATGCACTAGTTTATATTATAAAGAGGAGTCTCTTCTTTCTATAAACCTAATGCCCACTAAACATCTAAAGCTCAACATGCAAGCATAGTATTTATTAGCACTCCTAAAACATATAAACAAGTATGCCACGTCAACCCATTAAGCACATAAAACTCAACATGCAAGCCTATAGTAATTATATTTACACTTTATTTTATTTTATTCTAAAATTAAACATACACATGCTAAATCATCATTCTCAAATTATTTTCATAATATTTCAATCCCAATCATTTCATCATTTTTCCAATATCTAACCTATATCCCGCAGCAAAGCGCGGGTTATCGTCTAGTTATAAATATAACTGCAGTTATATTTTATTATAGAGAGGAATTATGTATATATATATATATATATATATATATATATATATATATATATATATATATATATATATATATATATATATATATATATATATATATGCATGACGGGTACAGATCCCATAGAGTTGAGTACAACTCCACCGGATGAATTTTATCAAATCCATGGCATCTACTGCTTCCTATGGTTTGAATGGGAATTACTTTATTTTTTTATTATGTTAGTAATGGTTAAGTTTCTGCCTACCAAATTAACAAAGTATACATGTTCTCTTCTTTCCCAAACACAGGAAGCTATGTTCATGTAAAAAAAAGTGTTAACCACATAGTACATGCAAACACACATAAACCATATACATGCAAAAATAGAGGCACATGCTCAGTACGGTGTTTACACCATGGATTAATCAAAGAATTTCTGGGTTATGCAAGTAAAATTAGCCTGTATATTCTCTAATGTCTAACTATATTGTAGACGGTGATTTGTTATTGTTACAAGATTAGGAGGAATTCTTTTTTTTTTCAAAAGAGACTAGTAGGAAGTGGGAACTAATGGCTTCGTCTCAACCGTTGATAAAAAAAAGAGACCGTAGAGATTCTATCAAATCCACCCGGTGGAGTTGGAGTGAACTCCATGGGATCCAGACCCCTGCAGGACCTCCTGTACAGTTTTTCCGTCAAGAAAAATTTTTTTTACTTACAATTAAATTGTGGACAGTTACGTCTCATTTATTACACAGTAATGTACAAATAGAAGCATTTTTTTGTCAAACGAAAATTTCCTTTCAAATCACGCACAGAGATCATCGTACTTCACCTCAGTAACAATTAAACGTACTGCCATTTGTTATCTCGCGGGACAGTTCAATTTTTATTTAGTGTCACCTCAATGTCCTTTCACATTCTCACGCACTCTGCATATGTCCTGGTCACCTACTCACCTGCCCTATTTCTCCATTGGACACAGCCTCCTCATTTTTCTTCAGCGGCTTGATCACGCCATCACCACCGGCATCAGCAATCCTTACCAAAGGGTGCCATATAGGTATTTCTATTATTCTATACTTATTTGAAAAGAAATAGCGGTGTTGGTGAGATAAAGAATTCCTCAGTACGTCTATCACTCCCTTACTTCCTTTTCAAGCAGAGAAAGGATATGTGGTTTTGTGAGAAGAAAGATGGTGTGAAGGTCCAGGGCATACAGCCATACATGTCAGTAATAAATATATGTATAAATAACAGATTACGTATGAAAAATAATAGCAATAGTGGGAAGTGATAATTTTATTTAACTAAAATCCCTTTACAACGCACACGCAATATACTACTATTGTTAAAATTTCACAATGTGTAGGAGACAATAAGTAGATCCTAAGAGCATATAAAAACCAAATAATATGCAATAGTTTGGGTAGAGAGGAGAGAATGAATACATAGCTAAGGCTGTATTTAAATCCAGGGGTGAAAATTTATGCCGTATCACATCGGATATACGGACATACATTTGAAGTATTAAACATAGTCTAATAACAAAACAAATTACAGAATCTGCCTATAAACTGCGAGACGAATTTATTAAGTCTAATTAATCCGTTATTAGCAAATATTTACTATACCACCACATTATCAAATCATGGAGCAATTATACTTAAAAGATTCGTCTCGCAATTTACACGCAATTTGTATAATTAGTTATTTTCTATATTTAATCCTTTATATATGTGTCCAAATATTCGATGTGATAGGGTAAAATAATCAATGATATTTTTATTTATTGCTGGCAGGTGTAGTACTGTACTACCTTGTGTAAGGACTACATTTATTGCGAACTATAAGGTTTAGAGTACATGCAGAATGTTCTACCACATGGAGAATGTTCTACTACAACACCCACCCTTTATATATTACAAGCGTCCATCAATCGCCACTAGCCAGACAGAAATTTATATATATGGCTGCAACTGCAAATACAGTCAGTCAGCTCAGATCACGTAGAACATTTCCAGGTTTCAGATAGAGGAAGAGAGACAGACAGAGGTGATGAGCAGCTCATCAGGGCTAGTGGATTGGAGGGGGAGGCCGGTGGACACCCGGAAGCATGGAGGTGTAAGAGCATCCATTTTCATCCATGGTGAGCTAAGCATGATTATGTACTACTGTTTTTTTAGTACTATGTCTCTCCTTTGCAGCTTTGCTCGTCACTGAGTTGTTGGCTTGATGGCTTCTGTTCATGGCTAGCTTCTACCAGTGTTCTCAGATTCGATTGTATAAAAATTTTGGGACCAAAATGAATGAAATTAAAAAAATGTGAGAAATTAATTATTACCAAATTTAAACCAAAATTCAGCAAACATAAAGTATGGGCGAAATTTAGTCTCGATCCTTACCGAAATGGACGAATTTTGGACCATTTGGTTAGAATCCCTTAACCTTGGTTCCTACTATTACGTTCTATAATAAGTTTATTTTTTAATATGAATTTGGATTAACTTATTTTAAGATAAAGGAAGTAGAATACACACATTTACTGGTCAACAAAGATAAGCTTGTTTTTTTCACCTTGGGTCCACATCTACCTTGAAATATAGTGCTAGTATAAATTTTAACTCGCTATAGGATAAAGACAATCAAACTTTTTCTAACAAACGCAATATAAACTTAGGCGCTCACAACATGCGCACAAAATAGACCGGTATATATTGATATTACCCGGTCCGTACAAAACTAGTTGTTGACGGGTACATCACCTACGACTGAAAACATAATTAACTATAAATACGAGCGCCATTATGAAGTCTGCAACTTGAATTCAGATTCGGATGAGTTGCTTCCACCATAAGGAAATTAATCGGTTAAGCTATGCTCAATTTGCAAGATAACCAAACTTTTTTTTCTTACAAGCAAGCCAAGTTTATTCCAATCCCGAATTTTGACGTATCTAAACCTCTGTGCTACAATTCAAAATTCAGTTCTGGACCGAATTAAAACTTAATACAACTCATGTATCAGAACGCTCTCAGATGCTGAAGTTGATAACGAATCATGGATATGATCAGATGTTAATGCATGCAGCGATGGTGCTCCTGACCAACGCGCCCAACATCGCCAACGTCTTGAACATGGTGAGCTACCTCCGGGCCACCATGCACATGGGTGTCGCGGAGGCGACGACGACGGTGACCAACTTGTTCGCCGCGTTGCAGGTGTTCTCCATCCCGGCGGCCCTCCTAGCTGACTCATACGTCAAACGATTCTACACCGTCATCCTCTTGGCTCCCATCGAGATCATAGTATGTTAATTATTCGTTTTTTCTCTTTTTGCATATATCACGTTTGATGTTTTTTAAGATGATATTGTCTATTATTTTAACTCAAGGCGCAATTATAATGTGCGTAAATTTCACAAAACTACATATATTTTGATCAATCTATCACAAAACAGAGTTAGCATAAATTATTTGATGAAACTACAGATTTAAGACATTGTGTCACAAAATAACATCTTTTGTAACTTTGGAAAAGCAATACTGATATGAATTCTAAACTCTAAAATTTGTAGTTATTTGATAACATTGTCAGTAAATCTATAGATTTATGATACGATGCAACAAATATATAGTTTTGTGATATATTTAATGTAAATTCTGTAATTTTGTGATACATATATACTCTTAAATATATATTTTGTGATAGTTTGCTGGAATATTTGTAGTTTTGCAAGTTCTACTCTTATAATATTATGAACAGTTTCTTGCAAAACTTTAGAAAATTAGTCTCAGATATAGTATTTATCACGTCAATCAAGGATGTCCACCCTAGGTGACTGTGACAAGTGAACACTACAACAGAAATCTTAATTGATGCCGGTTGGGAAACCCCCTTAGGTCCCAACCGACACCACGAAGGCGGCACTGACGAACACAACATAAACATCTAAGAACACACATCAACATTAAGAACACAAGATGAACACACATGAACACAAGATGAACACACAAGAACAAGCATGAACATCCACTGCTGTGCCGCCGCCGCTGCATCCGCTACCAAGCCACCGTTGTCGCTTTCGCTCCCATTCGCCTCCACCAGGCCGTCGCCAAGTCCGGCCAGATTTGGTGGAGGGGAGGCTCCGCTGCTGCCTCCACTGTCGGCTGCCACCGCTAGGTGGGGAGGCCGCTCTCGGTAAGCCGCCGCCACCCACCACCTCCCCACCCACCGGATCTGGCGGAGGGGAGTTCGCCGTTGTGTCGTCGTCGGGCCACCGCCTCCTCTCGCCGGACCATCAGATCTAGTGGCGGGGAGGACCGCCACCGCCTCCTCGCCGGGAGGGCGCCACCGCCATGGCGTTGCGAGGAGGAGGCTGCCGCCGAGAGACGTGAGGAGAGCGCCGCCGAGCGTGTGAGAGGAGGAGGGGAGGAGAAGGAGGGCACCGTAGCCATGAGAGAGGAGGGGGAAGAAGAAGATAAGGTTGGGGAGGAGAAGGAGCAGAAAGAGATGGGAAGATAACATTGTGGAGGAGGAGAGATAGCGTGTGTGGACGGCTACAAATATCTTCCGCATCTCCATGTGGCTTGGCTCGGTTTATAAGATGTCGGTTTTTTTAAAACCAACACCTATACTGAATTATAGGAACCGACACTTTTAGTATAGGTGACTGTTTTTCTCAAAAACCAGCATCTATAGTCTCTTAAAGGTGTTGGTTTTTTTCTGTTTTCAGTCCGTGGAGATGGGAAAAACACTATAGGTGCTGGTTTTAACTATTCCGGCACCTATAGTGCAGATTTGTATGTGCCTCTTTGTAGTAGTGGAAGTACTATAAATATTTAGTGCAATCGACCATATTGGTATCGGGTAGTACCATCTGTCAATCTAACACCAGTCATTCATCAAGCCTATTAATCAATTATTTGTCGTGTGAGTACTATAGTCTATTTATTTAATATGCATGCACTCCCTCTCTCTCTCTCTCTCATTCTAGGAGCAGTTGTGAGTTTCCGTGTCTAACTTTAACCGTCCGTCTTATTTGAAAAATTTATGAAAAAATTAAAAAAAAAGCCACTCATAAAGTACTATTCATGTTTTGTCATCTAATAACAACAAAAATACTAATCATAAAAAATTTCAAATAAGATGAATAGTCAAATGTTTGACACAGAAGCCAACAATTACACTTAAAATTGGCGGAGGAAGTTTGTAAAGAACTTCAGATTAAATCACTTGTTCTTGTCTTTATTTTTTTTTCAAAGTGGCTCTCCAAGCTAGGTCCCCAACTGGCACTGGGATTCTGGCACTGATGAGTTGAGTTCATATATCACTACTATAAAAAAGTCTTTAGGTGCCAGTTGCCAAACCCACATGGATGCCTGGTTTGGCAACCGGCACCTAGTAGGCGGCACCTTCGAGTTTTCTCAAAGGTGCCGGTTTAGGAAGTGACACCTTTGAGGTCCTAGGAATTAAAAAAGAGGCTGGCTTAACGCCTCAGCTCGATTCGAGCCCATGCATCAAGCAATAGCCCTTCACCCCAACTAGATTTTATCACACTCTTAATTACATTTAGTCGAAGAAAATGGAAGAACTCTAAGAACACAAGAACATCAATGAGACAAGCAAGGAGAGGGGAGGGGAGGGTGCTGGTACCAGGCTGCCTACACTTCTACCAAATCTAGTGGAGGGAAGGGCGCCGGACCTCCACCTCCTCCCCTCCCGCCATATTTGGTAGAGAGGAGGGTGCCGCCACCGCCGCCGAGCCACCAGGCCGCCGTCACCTCCTCTTCCGTTGGATCTGGCGGAGGGGATGGCGCAGCCGCCTCCCCTCCCACCATCGGGTGGTGTGGTGGAGAGAGAGAGGGAGCGAGAGAGAGAGCTGAGAGAGGAAGAGAGAGGGGGAGAGGGGAGGAGGCGGAGTGAACAAGAGAGCGGAGGATAAGGGAGAGAGAGAGTGAGGGGGTAATAAAAAGGGAGAGAGAGAGAGACGGAATGAGAACTCGTGGAATTCGGTTCCATTGGTTTCATCCGGTTTTCTTGCTAGATGTATCCGACACTAATGGATATTAACGATATCGGTTATTCTTAAAAAACCGACACTAATACTATATGTATCCGTTTTTATTTAGAACCGACACCTATCTCTCCACAAAGGTGCTGGTTCTAGCCGATTGTATCCAATGGATGCACATTTTAGGTGGGAAAAGTACCATAGATGCCGGTTTTAGCATTTCCGGCACCTATAGTGCTGACCTGTGTGTCCATTTTTGTAGTAGTGTATGCCGGATGTGAGAGATGGCATTGATAGGGTTATGGAAGTAATAAAAAAAAGAAATTGTTGGCTCGACGCATCAGCTCGAATCTAGCCGATCAATCGAACTCCACCCCTCCCTCTCCCCAAGAACCACATCAACATTCAAGAACATCACAAGTTAATAACATATCCATACCCCATCTAGAAGAATCAAAACAAACCAACAAAAAAGACAACCACAGAATCAACAACACATCATTATCCACATCTACAGTATCAAATAAGGCATCACATAATTAAGAACACCACTGCTCAATGCTGAAGGTCAAGGCTACCGTTGTCGTTGCCACCATCGTCAAGCGTGGAACTGGTGCATTCTGGACGGGTGGTGGCTAGATATATACGTCCCACCCAAGTTCGTGTTAGTCGGATCCAGCTGCCCGAGCTTGATGACGGGGGCCATGGGAATGGTTGCGCAAGAGGAAGAGGGTGCTGCTGCCACTCACCAGTGGGGAAAGAGCGCTCACCACTGGTTGGGAGATAGCCATCACTGCTCTACGGTGGAGCAGGCCACCGGTGAGGAGAGGACGCCGCGCCATTGAACGATGGATGCGGATGGCAATGGAGGAGGCCACTGCTGTGAGTGGACCGTGCTGGTGAGGAGACAGTGAGGGGAGAAGACCCAGGAAAGCGACTGAGAGCACAAAGATAGAGAGGATATTGAGACTTATAATTTCATCAAGGAGTTCATTTTTCTTTTTTAAGACTCACCGTGGTCTCATCTAGTCGAAGATGAAACTTGTCTCGGCTCTTGTGGCTCTGGCAACTTTTTTTGTTCCAGTATAAAAGGTACCAATAATTATTATTGTGTATCGGCTCACCTAAATAACTAACACTTTAGCGTTTAGTGCCGATTCATGTAATAAAGACTGACACTGATGTGGTTTTTTCTTCTCCCGTTTTCTGCACGGGTCTACTGGAGCTGGAAACCGGTGTCAGTGCCAGTTTTTGTCAACCGACACTAATAAGGCGACACAAATGTGATGTTATGTGGTAGGGCTTGTAAGTTTGATTTGCTTTGTCATGTGTCAACTTTTAGGACTCCTTTAGATTATAAGATTTCTGGCAGCTTTTTTAATACTATTCAATAAATTATACGCAATATCAATAGGCAAAGTCTTGTCTTAATAAGTTCCTTTTTAAACACGTCCAACAATTATCTACGGAAAGAGGGAGAGTACTGTTTTATAGAACATTGCAAGTAACATGTATCAACAAATATGCACCCAAAACTTAACACAAGATTGTCTAGACAAGAGAAATGTGAAAAAAATACAAATGCGGTCTTTAACAATATATAATTTATCGAAATAACCAAGTGCACCAACTGCTCCTTGCTTTTTAGGGGAAAAAATATTTTAACGATCGAGGAGGTACCAAATTTTTGTAGAAAAACACTTATCTCTCCCGTTAGCTTCTCAAGTATCACTCGAATGTTCAGCAATAATCAAGTACTAACACGCACAATCCAACAAGCTTCTCAGTTCTCACACATAGCTGGTTACTTCGTCGCCGCAGGGTTACATCGTTCTGGCGCTTCAAGCGTACACCCCCTCGCTGCACCCGCCGCCGTGCAACCCGGCGGCCACAACGGCAGCGGCGAGCACCACCTGCGAGCCGGTGCGCGGCGCAAACCTGAGCCTGCTGCTGCTGGGCCTGTACCTGGTCCCGATCGGCGACGGTGCGATGAAGGCGTGCCTGCCGGCTCTGGGCGGGGACCAGTTCGACCCGGCCGACCCGGACGAGCAGCGGCAGGAGGTGAGCTTCTACAACTGGTACACCTTCGCCGCGTCCACCGGCGGTTTAGTCGGCCTCGTCTTCATCGTGTGGGTGGAGAACAGCAAGGGCTGGGGCATCGGCTTCGCCATCTGCGCCGCCTTCGTCTTGCTCGGGTTGCTGGTCTGGGCCGCCGCCTTCCCGCTCTACCGGAACCGGCTGCCGACGGGGAGCCCCATCACAAGAATATTGCAGGTATTCTCGTCGTTTGAGCTAAAAGTTTTCAGTCGTTGTAGTAAACTATAAACTTCGCTAAATTCTTGTGATAAATTTAAGCTATATGTATGTAGAACTTTAGAGGATTGAATAACAATTAATAAAGCCTAATGCGGATGACAAATTGGAAAAAGAACAATTAATAAAGCCTAATACTGATATGCTTCCTGCTTACTCTGTCATCCATGCATGACACTACGATTCCTGCTTACTCTGTCATCCATGCATGACACTACGACAGAGAGTAAGCAGGAAGCATATCACTATATAACATAGCTGTTCTTTTTCCTATTTAATCGATCAAGCTGTGTACTCTAGGTTTTTGTAGCGGCATTCAGGAAAAGAAACGTCCGCTTGCCGGAGGACCCCAGCGAATTGAAACAAATCAACCAGGATGATGATAACAATGCCCTCGAAGTTCTCCCCAGAACAGATGGATTTGGGTATGTCGGCCAAACTCTGAACATTGCTAGTTTATCAGAGTATTCCTTTAATTTGTTAGTAATGCTATAGTATAAGTGAATTAGGCACATTCTTTCACCATCTTAATATTTCGGGTTAAAATGGCTGATGCAGGCAATCCAACATGCCATAAAAAGACAGATGGTATCCAATCTATATATCCTATATCCTATATAGTTGGAACCAAAAAATCTAGCCTTTGGATCCTCTCATGCTTTGATCTCAACCATCCAATATCATGTGTATTTACAACTTGCTTATTTTAGTTATCTATCTTCTATCTATCTATCTATCTATCTATTATTATATACTAAAAGTCCATGAAACTTCCTACAAACGCTCCTAAGCCGCCACGTGGGAGTCCTACAAACACTCCTAAAACGCCATGTGTCACTTTAATAAACAACTGGACCCACTATTTTTAATTACCATTAGAATTGTTTTTTCCACCTCCCTCTCCTATCCCTACAGGCCCACATTCAAGCATCCCTGCACGTACGTACAAACATACAAACGTACGTAAGAATCTACCTACACACTATTTGCTAAAGGAAAACAATAAAAAACTATTCATCAGAAAAAATAAAAAAAGAACATACATGTATGCACATTTGTACCCACGGTTGGAAAAGAAGCGATCAATTGTTACCCCTTTATTTTCTTCGGTTGTTCACTACTTAAAATTTTATAAAGTATATGATGTATCTTATCTATAAAAAAAATAACATCCATATTACCTATATTTTAATTACAGAAATTTGTCATGCAGAACTATAGTCTTAATAATTACTTTCTTTGTGTTTTAATAACGGACAACTAAATAAGCTCCTAAGACACCAAGAAACACTTTAATTTAATAAATTAGAGAAAATCATATAAATTATGAAGACAAAAACAAAAAAAACATTGATTTTAACTTAAATATGATCGACCAATTATTTTCCACTATTACATTTATCTTAGCAATATTTATGTATGTACACTATTGTTTCTAGATACCCCGATGAGCGTAATTATAATCCATTAAACTTCCTACAAACGCTCCTAACCTACCATATGGTATCCTATAAACACTTTCGAGTCGTCACGTGGCACTCTAATAAAATATAGAAATTCGCTCATCGATTTTCATTTAAATAATGAACCCATTATTTTAAATTGTTAGATCTATCTTAAGAAAAATCTCCCTCTGTCCATGCCTATGTGCGGCATTATCATGAATGTACGTAACCTAATCTTCCTCTATTCCTTTCTTTTTTATATTTCCATGATAACTAAAATTATTGTTTTTTATTTTTGAGCCAAAAAATATCCATAAATAGACATTAACCTACTAGATAGCAAGCTCTTCCTCCGTACTCTCTTTATAGATCACTAAACATCATACGAATATTTCTAATTAACTACATAGCACTCTTAAATTAGAGAAAATAAAAAAACAAAATATTCGACCATCGATTCCTACTTAAATCGGTTCACTACTACAAAACTGATTTTTCATGGCGTCAAACTTTCTTTTTCTCTAACGGCCATAAGTGAAAACCGCCAGCGAAATTTTAACAATGGATGAAGTGCTTAGGACTGCCAGCAAAAATAGGTCTTCGCTAGCGGCCGGTTTAAGAGGACCGCTAAAGTAGAAGTCTTTTTGCAAGCGGACCTCTTTAGTTATTAAATCGAATTTTCGTTGGCGGTTGCTAGCAAAAAGTACATAGAGAGCACCGCTCGCAAAAAGAAAACAATTGCGTTATTAAAAACCCCCACGGCCCCACCGCCCACCACCCACAACCCACCACCCACCGCCCACCGCCCACCGCCTCCCTCTCCTTTCCTCTCCGGTGCTGGGAGATGGTGGTGCGGGGGCGCGCGGGCGACGTTAAGGCGCCAAGAAGGCTGATTCGGCGACATGCACCAAGGTACCCATTAAAAATGTAGCATATAGAAAATAATTAGCTGGTGCATTTTAGCAACGGGATACAATAATAAGTTGTAAAATATCTAGCTAATTTTACTACATACCAGAAAGAACTATCAAGTTCTAACTATTGTTGGCAAACAATAATATAGGCACAAGTGCCATTATTTTCACATAGGGATTTCTAACTTTTTAATTGTATGAATAATTATTTTCATCACAACTACACAAATGATTTTTGCGAACATTCTTTTCACATGTGGCTCAAATGTGCAGCCTCCTATGTGGTGAGCCTCTTGCCTCAGACTCATGGGTGTTCTTTGAAAATAATTTTTGCAATCCTTTTGCACATAACTATTTTAGTGGAGTGCTTGAAACACAATGTAGCGTTCAAGCTTTTACACATAAAAACTAATTATGGAGCACTTAACCCGTAAGATAGTATTGAATCAATCTACTCCCTTCGTTATAGAAAAACATAGCCCACTTTACATCATGATAATATTTTATTCTTTCAAAATTTTTATATTTCTCTTTGTACAAGTCATATTAAACACACCAAGAGGCGAAGGTAATGCTAAATCAGTTCAGTAAATTCTATCCTTTAAAGTAGCTCCATGGGTTTCTCTGCAACCTGTATGTATAGGCCTCTAAGGTGGCAATATAAAATTAGTAGCCTTTGTTATAATAATATGATTAAAAGTTATATTTTCCTAATAAATTATTATTTTAAGATTCACGTTGACTATGTCTTTTTTAAAAAATATCATGTAGGGTCTCATATATTAAAAAGAAGCGCTATATAAGATATGTACATTTGATCAATTAAAAAGAGGGCTAGCAAGATGGTAAAAAGATAAACTTATGAGCAATAAAAGTTTCTCGATCGAGACTTCTTAAGGAAAAAGTAAACATTGAAAATTCAATTAAAAATGAAAAACTAACCTTACTTTAATTTCAACTTCTTTTGTTACAACTATTTCCAAAAAAAAAATAATATGCATGCCCGCGCAAATGCGCAGGCTACCTTCCTAGTTGCAAATAAAGGTTAATATACGTTGAGCCATATCTGCTAGAAAAGAAATAGCTATTGGATCCCTACCATACATTATACATGCATCCATGTGTCATTTTATGTTTGCAATTCCAAATCAACTACTATAGAGCGAAAGTATTGTTCTTTCAAGCGTTAAGAGTATCACGATTTAGAAAACTGTTTTCTTCGAGATTTTTTGAAGTTCTTAAACTCTCTTCTGCAACGCCCGGGGAATCCAGTAGTAAAATAAAAACTTGTGACAACCTTCTATATTCCATTTCTAAAGCTGCAGCGAGTCACCGTGTAAGGACAGTAGTGGTTTATAAATAAACTGCCTATCTAGTTTATCTTTGTATTCTCTCGATTTCAAATTACATGTTATTGGTTTTGTTCTCAGTAAAACATTTTAATGCTTGACCATCATTTTCTATGAACTCATCTATTTTACTATCATAAGATATATATTTCTAGATTTACCAAGAGAAAGTACTTTTATGATATACAATGCTCATGCTGTTAGACTACAATAATTTGTAAAAACTAATGGTCAAAGATACAAAAATTTAACTTGGGACAAACATGGAGGATAAGTAATTTAAAATGAAGTAAGTAAATAAGTTACAAAGTCAAACCAGTTGGCACATGTAACTTATAATGAGTAACGGTTGGAATCTTTCATTGCTTGCAGGTGCTTGGAGAAAGCAGCAGTCAGGACTGGTAATGATGCTGGTGCATGGTCGCTGTGCAGCGTGAACCAGGTGGAGGAGACCAAGATCTTGCTACGCATGGCACCCATCTTCGCCGCTGCCGTTCTCGGCTACATCCCTATGCCGCTCATCCTCACCTTCACCGTGCAGCAAGGCAGCACTATGAACACCAAGCTCGGATCCGTCCACATATCGCCAGCGACATTATTCCTGATCCCAATCATTTTCCAGCTGGTCATCCTCATTCTCTATGACCGCGTCATCGTGCCACCTCTCCGTAGGCTCACCGGCTATGTCGGTGGTGTCACCCACCTCCAGCGGATTGGCGTCGGTTTCATTGCTACCATCATGGCCACCGCCGTCGCTGCGGTGGTGGAGATAAGGAGGAAGTCTGCCGCCGATGAGAGCAGCCTCGCGGACGGCACCGCCGGGATCCCGTTATCTGTATTTTGGTTGACACCACAATTCTTCCTCATTGGCATCTTCGACGTCACCTCCTTCGTGGGGCTCCTCGAGTTCTTCTGCAGCGAGGTGTCTATGGGAATGAAGTCCATCGGTAGCTCCATCTTCTACTGCATCCTTGGCGTGTCGGCGTGGCTCGGCAGCCTGCTCATCCAGGTCACCAACCGTGTCACCCGAAGAGGCGGTAAAGGCAATGGCGGCAGCGGAGGATGGTTGGATGGGGCCAACTTGAACAATGGCAAGCTCGAGAGGTTCTACGTCGTCCTCTGCATCATCGAGGTGGTGGCACTGCTGTCCTACGTATTCTTCGCGAGGAGGTACGTGTACAGGAATGAGCAGAAGGTGGTGACCCAAGGAGGGACTATGTGTGACACTGGGAATGGTGCCGATATGATCTAATCATGAAATATGTTGTGTTTACATTTACGTGGGTGTAATAATTTGTACAATAATTTGTAGGAACAGGAGAAATGGAAGGAACTTTATTACTCTATTCAATAAAGAGACATCATTATCAAGGAGAAAACAAAAATCAGTATACCATACTTTATTTCAAAATATGTGAAAAAAAATTGCATCTTACGATAGGCGCGGCCAAGAAAGAAAAGGGAAGTAACATAGACTTTTATAAGGATTGATGTTCGGAGCTTGGTGAATAAAGTAGAGGGAGATCATATGTACTTTTTAGCCGGCCAAAGGGTCACGGGGAGGAATAGTCCAGATGGTGGCTCCCACTAGTGGGTCCCACTTCCTTTTCTTTTCTTCTCTCTCTCCCTTCTTTCTATCGGTTTCTCCTCTCTGCTCTCTCTCCTTCCACTCCTCTCAGGTCCACACGCGCGAGTGCGATGGGGGCGACGACTGGGCATGGTGGTGCGGCGGCGTGCGACGGCGGCAGAGGAGGGAAGGAAGGGGGCCGGAGGAGCCTCGCGGACCGGCGGTAGCGGGGAAAGGATGCTGGCTGTGGGGATGGAGAGGAGGGAGGTTGCCGGCGGTATGGGAGGGGGAGGCTAGTGGCGGGGATGGAGGGGAGAGGTCGGCGCGGTGTAAGGAAACGAGGAGGCAGACGCGGGCGTCGTGGACGGCAACCAGGCGTGCCGGCGCGAAGGGGAGGATGAGCAGTGGTGCTGGGAGTAGGGGAGGGGCGGCGGTGACGGTGGATGGGGTGAAAAGCCGGCGCAACGAGGAGGAGTCAGGGCGGCGCTGGTGGCTCGGATAGAGGAGAGACGGCGACAAAAGAGGTGGTGGTGGAGCTTGGAGGCCAAGGGAGGAAGACAGTGGGAAACGACGGCTTTTAGGGCTGGTTTGCTTTGTGACCTAAATTGACCTTAGCAATTTTGGTTAATGCTAAATTTTGGTAAGTTTTGACATGGTCAATGTTGGTAAGGTAAAGTTGTGTTTGGATTGAAGCCAAAACAACCTAATTTCACTATTGAAATGACCTATTTCTTTAGGCACGCCAAAATTTAGCTTCAAACCAATACTAAACACTGTTAAAATTGCCAAATATTGGCAAGGCCAATTTAGACCACAAACCAAACCAATCCTTAAAGCCATCGTGGCCGGCAGAGGTGACTCGGCCGACGGGGCCGACTGCCCTGTTCGGCTGACGTCGTCGGCAGTACGGCACAGGACTGCGAGGAACGGTGGACGGCGCGGCGGTTGGAGCTCGTACATGCGAGGGCGGTGAACCCGGAGCAGCGGCGCATGGGCGAGCGACGGCCAAGGAAGCGGCGTAGCGTCGGCCGCAGATGGGATGGGCGGCGCCGATGGGGCCGGATGTTGACATCGGCGGTGGTGCGCTGGCGGCCCCGTGAACTCGCCTCATGCTTTCGGCATGGGCGAGCGAGGGCGGCGGCTAGAGCTCGAGGGAGCGGGGCAGTGGACTTGGAGCAGCGGTGGATGTGATGGACGTCGGCGGTCAGGTCCGGATCGTCGACACCGCCAGGGAGGACAAGGTACGCATTCTCTTTCGGTTCTCATTTTTCGGTGTGGATTCACCTCTCACTGGGTTGCCGATATTTTGGGAGGGTGGTGCACTGGGTGTTGTTGTGGCGGCGTCCGCGAGTTGATGACCGGCATCAAGTTTGTACGTGAATCCCGGGTGGAAGGTGTGGGGGAGGATGAAGACGGCGGCTCGGTATGCTGGCTTGCCTGGTTTGCAGGATTTGTGCTTGTGCAGAGCACCTTGCGTGCGTGTTGGCTGTGTCGCGTCGGGCTGAGGGTTGAGAGGGAGGACAAAAGGACTTAGATTGGTTGGCAGGTCATGGGCTAGTGAGGGGCTGGGCCGGCCTTGAGAGGGGGGGTGGAATGGACTTTGTGTTGTAGTTGGGCTGGCAGAAAAAAGGGTGGACCAAATGTAACAGGAGACTCGGACATTTTGCTAGGAAACTTTGTAATTAGCTAGGCAATTCGTAACTTGATTCGACTCTGTATAATTTGGACTGTGAAATGGACCGTATAATGGACTGTATAATTGGACTGTATGTAGGAGGCTTGGTTAGCTTGGATGATAATTGGTCCGTATAGATGGGAACTTACTTAGCTCAGCAGTTGGACTGTTTAAACTGGGATATTTGGATTTGATTTGGCAAAGAGGCCGTGCGAGGATTAGCATTAGGACTTATTTGCGAGCACTTTGCACGAACGAACGACGGTAATGCAAAAGGAATTTTAGGGACGACGTGTGGTATACAAATCGATTCGTCACGGTAGGAATAGAATCGAGGATATTATAACCAACATATAATAAATAAATACGTCGATCAGTTGTAGGTGTTTGAGGAAATTATCGAGTTTTGAACTGATAGGGTGATTCTAAATTAATCGTAGGGTAAGAGTTTGAGAGAGATATATATCGCATTGCGACCAAAGGAAACGACTTCAGGTCTGATTAGTACCGAAGCGCTTTAATGCAACAGACGCGGAGGATAAGGAAAGGACGTCAAATAGGGGGCATCCTTTTAGCAAATAAGGGTTAATTGACATCTTTTGGAACAACAGCTAAACACACACAACTAATAACAAATCCTATTATGCACGCTGGGCCATGCATTTCAATGGGAAAAAACGGACTTACCTGAGAAGGCCATTTCTTTTAAAATAGCCCTTTAGGAATTATATTTCACAAATACGGTTTCTAATAAATACTTTATTAATGGGGAAAAACCGGACATATTCTCAGACAATAATCAAAGCAATATTCCCTTTGTAAAATAATTTCCGTTTTAATGAACTATACCATAGAGGGTGTCCATTCAAACTTAGAATATGTAACCCTATTTATAAATTGAATATGCCACAGAGGATCTATTACATAGAGAAGGGTTTTCAGGAAAATATTTGGTATTTGCAAATACTAACATATTTCATAATCATGGTTCTTTGAATAAATAATATTTGAAGTCAAAATGCATGCATATTCTCAGACGTTCGTCCTTTAGCCCATGCATAGCCGGAAAACGGAAAATAAAATCCAATAAATTCCAGTATGCAAGGAAGTTCAAAAAGATTTTTGGTTATACCGAATTTTTAATTTCGTATTTCAAAACCAAATTTTTCATGGTGTTATAGTTCATCCCCACTAAGTGTAGTTAATGCTATTTCTCTCTTCTCTCATTAAGCCACATCACCCTAATTATTTTTAGCCTTTGTATGATAGATCTATGGCTCAAATTGCCTCATCTTTCTTCTCTCATAAAAATGCAATCTCAATTATTTTTAGGATCAAAATTGTATTAATTTGTTTTAGTTTTGATAATCATATTACATCTTATTTGTACGTATTATGCAACATAATTTTCCATACCAACGCGACGGAGTATTCATCTAGTTTTCCAAACGCACTAGGCATGCATCGTGGAGAACATGAAGCACAATGAAGGCAACACTATAACATCCCTGCTGTCACTGAAGACAGCTCCTTGAACACCACCGATGCCGCTGAAGTCGAGGTGGAGCACCGTCACCGCCGCTGTAGAATTGCAAAAGCTAATTAAGCCTCGTCCAAATACGGAGGATCAAAATCGATTGACTCATTTCTAATGTGAAAATACAAATTTACCCTTCCACCTCACTCACCTTTGGCTGGTACCTCAGGGCAAATGGTACCTGGAGGTACCAATCTATGTCAGCCGTCCGATCATGGCCACTCAACGGACCATATTTGGTACAAGGCCAGCTTGCTGGACAGTAAAAAAACTCTTGGGGGAAATCTTAATCCATTTACATTTTCCCGCATGGATCTATTATAGATTCCAAATGGTATTACGCAAAACGTCATGATGCAAAAGCTTTAAATGATTCAAAATTTATTGATTTCTTTTATATTAGAGTTCTATACGAGTGGAAAAAATTTTATTTACATCTTGCACCTTGTTAATAGCAATACCTCGCGAAATTCCATCATCGTGCATAGATATAGAATGGTCGCACCAGCAAGTGTGGATGATCACCAACTTTGTCGTAACGCATATGCAATAATTCATTTGAACAACAACCTAGTTTCATAAAGAGAGGAAAGATTACCGGAGGCATATATTATTTTTTTTTCAGTTTACAGTTTATTGGTTAGTCATATCAGTAAATTTATTTGCTGCTACCAACATAAATATACATCCTCTGAAGCAAAAGGCATTTATGTTCATAATTGAAATAAATGAAGGAAGAAATATGGTTCTTTAGATTTAGAGTCATGTGAGCAATATAAATAGTTTCTTTCACATATGTTTTAGCATCATGTTCTATGAGAATCTTTCAAGCAATGGGATATAGAGGACCAACTGCAAAAATATTTATACTACTTTCTTTGCTATCACTAACATTCAGTGCAGAGCCAAGAAAGGAAGAGTTTGTAAACCATTCAGTCGTCAAGATGTTTCAGGTATGTATGTATGTATGTATGTATGTATGTATGTATGTATGTACGTATGTATGTATGTATGTATTGAATTCTAACAAACCACTCTAGTTTTATTATTTAGTTTGTTCTAATGCAAAACTGGTGTGATCCTCGAATTTTAGAGTGGAGATGGGCAAACCTTTGCCTGTGTTAATTTCAAATCACAGGCATCTTTGAAGCATCTTTTGCTGAAGAATCATACCACCCAGTTGTTGGTAACTTGTTGTTTATAGATCTCATCATATGATACATGGTTTGCGCCATTAAGAAGCATGAATGATTTTAATGTACATATTGGATTTTTTTTTGAGTTATGCAGATGCAGCCAGGTTCTTTCCCTTATAGTACGAATGATGCTAAAGGATCTAAAATTTATATCTCCAGTATTGATATGTGCAAAATTGAGTGTCCCTATGGGACGGTACCAATCCTAACGAGCTACATGTCATCCATGAGTACCAGACATTTCCACAACAACATAGGACACAATGATACTGGAAACACCAATTGATATGAAAATGTAGGAACAATGGTTTTATAATTGTATTACCTCCCATCACATGTTTCACACTTTATTCTCTATGCTTATTCTTCATTTAATACTGATACCCCATTTCATTG